AGGCCATGCGTCGCGCCTCCTCGTCTCGCCTCTCCACGCCTCCGATCCGCTGCTGCCACAAATCCGGATATCCCATTCAAACCAGTGCGTCTAAAAGATGTCACATTCTGAGCTGGAGGCCTCCAGCTTCAGCAAAAAGCAAGAGAGCTAAATAAATAAACAAATTAACAAACTTGGTACACCGAGCACTGTCAAGGTCACTGTCGAGTACACCGTCTGCTCGAAAGTGAGACCAGCCTGAATCCTGCGTCCTGTCCAGACAGGGCAATATCCCAAACAAAGGCCTTTTCTTCCCCTTTTTCTTCTTTTCATTCCCAACACGCAGGTTTCCACAGTTAGAGCCTAACCTCTAAAACTGCCATGAAAGGGAACAAACCACCAGGGTGAGCTGAGACTCTGTGGTGATCTTTTCCAATAATTCAACTAAAACAACACACACACAATCTGACTATTTTTTAATTGTAAAGCAGCATTTTCATTACATCACAAACCTTAAGCGTATCAGTCCAAGAACGTTGCAAATATGCAAGAACAGAAAAATAAACAATGAAATAAATTCATTAATTAAACAAGAGGGCAGAAAAACTTTTCACGAAAAGATGTTAGACATGGGAACAGATAAAAACGCAAAGCAAATTCATAACAGGGTCTTCAGTGTTTGACACACAGTTTGAACTTGACCGTGAGTTGCAGATATTCTGCTGTCTTTTTTTATTTTATTTAGTTTTTTTCATTCAGAATTTGAAAAGAAAACCAAATAGTATGTTTAGGATCGAGTTGAAATTAAAAAAATATATATATATGGAAAGTAAGATCTGGAAGAAAAACAAATAAATAAAACTAGTTCAGAAGTAATAGATTAGACACAAAAAAATCCATACATTTATTGTGTTAATTTAACATTTTATACTTAAGTGGAACTAATTTAAAAAAAATATATATATATTACATTAAAGTAATTGATTTTTAAAAAATCAATAGTTTTTAGAATAATGAACCCATTACCTGCATCAAATAGAGTTAGAATTAGACTTTTATTATAGTTTTATATTCAAATGTCGTAATTAACAACACTGATTAAATCAAGTTTTGAAAAAATGTTTAAAAAAAGCTGAGCATTAAAACTTTGCCTGTCCTCCATGTGCAAACTCTTGCAGTAAAACTAATAAATTACCAAACCTTGCAACGATTGCTTTGATATAAAATGTGTTGTAAACAACAAGAGCAGAGGAAACCACATGGCTTACGTTGTGATCAAAACGTCTCTTTATATTTGCTGTGCCATCATTTTCAAAAGTTGAATCAAATGTTTTCCATCCAAAAAAAAACCCAAAGCATAGGATTTTATGACCTTCAATCTGGATGAAATAAATAAAATGCTGAAGAGTTGTGCAAAGAACAGAGTTTTGCAGAAGGCTCCTCCACAAGCTGCACTTCCTGATATTTTCCTCTGGTCACCACCAGAGGTTATCAGCCCCCTTCCTTCCTAGCTCTGACTCAACAACACACATGGAAACACAAGGCAAACTTTTTACACTTGTGAGCTAAAATCCAAGTCTAAACGAACTCAAAAGTGTTCAAACTCCTGTAGGATTTTAGCTACTAATGTGAAATGCTAGGGTGTGATTTTGAAAGTTTAAAGAGAAGTTTTTGTTGATCTGCTGGTTAAATATTAACGGAGCGTTGGCATTTTTAATGGGACAAAACTCACAACTCAGCGAGTAAAACAATAACTAAACACCCAGAACGTGACGCACTGATGTGCACAATCTCTTCTACAATTTCAAAGATTAATATTTGCCAACTGTGCGCTTGAATATTTGCGTATTAATCATTTACAAACAAAGTCCCAGGATTATTATAATATTGATTTTAAAGTTAAAAAAATAATAAATTAAAGGGAAAAGTCACCTTTTGAAATAAGAAAGACTTTAGAAATTTAATTTATTCATCATAGGTTCAGTGAAGTAAATTTTTATTTATTTTTACTTAGATTTCCTATTAATTCTCAAACATTAAAAGATGAACTGAGGGAAAATAAAACTTACCATAATGATGCTATAACTCAACAGCAGAATAAATTACAACAAGATTCTATTATTTAACTTTTTTGTTTGTAAACAAAATAAAAAAAAACACCAATGCGCATGTTGCGTATATTATAAGTCCCTTTGGCCAATTTTTAAGACAAAAAAAAAAATCACATAATCATAAAGTACTACCGCGAGAGCGCTTCCCTTTAATGGTTATATTGAGGCCGACGTCCTATCATTATTTCCTCTCGCTGTGTTGACAGTGTGGCCGCTTGCTGAGGATTAGTGGTGTTAGTGGGAAACGTCTACAAGTCCTACCTGTTCTCCGTGGTCAGTAACACACACCTCATGATGAGTGCGTGAACTAGAAGCCCGGGACCACAGCACGTAGAAGTTATTAAAAGGAAAAAGAAAAGGAAAAGAAACACATCGAGCCCAAATGTGAATGTATGAAGATGGTCAGAAACGCGGGTCAAAGGATATCTGCACTTCCCCTTTTTATGAATTTATGGCACGTCATTAAGTCCGGCTGTCTAGACGGGGAAATAACACCTTGTTTGCCCACAAACAAACAAAACCGCGCGCTCTGGTGTCCAGCCTCCCTATTTATTATTCACAATCTTCTGTGATGTCAAGGTCAAAGTGACCGCATAGTCATGGTCAAGGGTAAATTAGAAGAGCCAGAAGTTTTCACATGGAGTGAAAATCCGGGGGAACAAAACAAAACCCCTGAAGTCTGACGGCTGAACAGCATGCTGAGACCGACACAGCCCTGCTAACAGTCAGACCAGAACTCACCCACATGTTATCAACTCACTTTTTGCTTTTGCAAAGCTGCAAGAGAATTACACGAAGCTGTATCACAAATAATCCTGCAATACTTTTAAAACTAATTGTTTATTTGGAATATAAACTTTAATTATTACCAACAATATATGTATAACTTACAATTATTATCTTCACTCGTTATTTGAGATAATCAGAGTTTAAAGGAGATTTAACTTGTTACAAATCTGAATTTCTGCTCAGAGCTGCCTTTATATTTTCTCCTATTTTGACATGCTGCAGTTTGCCTGCATGCGATAGCTTTCAGTTTACAACAAAAACGTCCTGTTACTGAAAAATATAAAAACGCAAAACCTGCAAGTGTAATCTGTGCCTATTTGAAAACAAAACTGTAAGGACCGTTGTGTCATTTCTGCAGCGTTTTTGCTGCATTCGTGCGTAAAAAGCGCTTTGACGCAAAGCAGCAAGTCACGATTATAAAAATATAATACAATTAAACATATAATAGACAATAGCAAATGAAAAGTAAATGCATGTATCAGATATGAATAAACTTTTCCTCGTATTTAATGTAAAACTTGTTTGCTACAGCAAGGTGTAACTAAAATATCCCAAATTGTCGCGTGGCAAACTTGGCGCGCTAAGACAAACTCGAGCAAACATTGGTTTAATTTTTATTTTTTTGTTTCAGTTCTTCTTGTCCAACTTAAAGCACAGAACTGATATTAACTCGCTACATTCAGAAGTGAACATCTTATTTAGAAAAATAAAATAAAATACGAGGCACTGTCTTTGTTGTTAAGATCTCATTGTACTCGTGATTCTTTTTAAAAAGGAGTTTGAATGAATATTTTGTGGATAGACCCAAAGAATAATTACATCATTTATTTGTTTTTCGGGCTCTATTGCGGCTTTTATTTATTTACTCACCTTTTTTCCGCATTGAAATTTGTCATTAACCAAACAAGACGTGTTTGGCTTGTCTTTTAGTTAATGACGTAACTCACCTGAACTAACTTGAACTTGTGCGTAAAGATCCCCACCATGCGATAATGTCTTCAAACTTGTTAATTTGAAGAATCGGAGCCTGAGAATATAATAGCCTCAATATATCTAGGGAAAAAGTCCCATTATTATGATCAATTTGATCCTTGCACAAGTCGAGGTTTGCCGAGTAAAAATCATGCGTAAAAACTAAATGCGCACTAAATTCAATCATAAAGAAATCACAAAAGGTTTGCAGCCCAAGTAAAAAGAAATAAAAAAAAAAATGCTCCAAAATGGGAAAGCGTTCAATATTTGAGCATTTTCATAATGATCATTTATTTATGAAACACGTTACCAGTACGCATAATTCAACAGCACGATACAGTCACAATAACTGCAGCAAGATGACAAAGCTGGGGGGCTCCAAAGGGACACAGAAGAGAAGAAAAACGATTGTGCATCTTTTTTAATGTAATACTCACTGACTTTAATGGTTTACAATCATTCCAGTTGCATGGCAAAGTCCTTCACTGATAAAGGAAACCGTACAGGTTCATGATATTCCAGCTTTCGGTTCCGCCATACAAGATCATGTGAATTAAATAAGAAAGGCATTGCACTGTACACATTAACAACAGCAGCCTCTGTTCCAGCCGAACCTCACAGAGAGCTGCTTGTTGAAATTCAAATAAATTTCTTTTTTTTTCTTTTTTCTTCGTCTTCTTTTTTTTATTAAATCTTTTTTTTCTGCCAAAGATCTTTCTGTCAGCAGTTGTGGAAACTGATTAAAGTCTCAAGTTGGGACACGCCACGCAGCAAAGTCCTGTCCTCGTGGCGCTCATCTTTTTTGAAAACAACTGCAATCAGTTTCATTTTCTTTCCATCTGCCCCGTTGCTATTAGAAATGTCCTCAGTCCTTTACAGATTCAATGTGAACAAAAAAAAAAGGGGGGGGGGGGGGGGGGGGGGGGAACACGCAATACTTGTCTTTGAAATACAGATATCGTTTTAAATATTATATATTTATATATGTACATTCCTATAAAACAAAAAATGAACACTTTCACAGTTTTTAGAGTCATTTTCCCTCTAAACTGAGAACTGCTGTTGGATGGAAATTATGATGGAGCTTAAATAAAAAAAAATAAAACAAATAGCCAAAATAATCAACCACCACCTTCAATGCTTGAGGTAAATAATATAGGTGACATTATGGTATTATTATTATTATTATCATTATTATTATTATTATTGGAGGGGAGGAGAGGAGCAGGTTCATGGCTCATCTTATCAAGTGGCGTGCATGTGATTGTTCTTGGATTTACTGACGAACTTCTTCTCCTTGACCCGCCGGTTCTGGAACCAGATGGTGACTTGGCGCTCTGAGAGGTTGGTGGCGGCCGAGATGCGCCTCCTCTTGTCTTTGGTGATGAACTTGCTGGCCGCGTACTCCTTCTCCAGCTCCTTCAGCTGGATCTTGGTGTACGGGACGCGCTTTTTCCGCCCGCGACGGTAGCTGCTGACCTCGGGCTGCAGTGGCACCACGTCTGGGTGAAAGAAGAGCGCAGAAAATTCACAAACTATTAGAATGCACAAAATCTATTAGATATGAAAAAAAAAAAAAAAGATTCACCACACGCAACCAGGAAGGCGAGAGGAAGATTCTATGAGGGTGGAGGGGGGGGGGGTCCTTATGTGCTGCACCTGACATCTGGGGTCATCTCATAGCTATTTATCTCATGTAAAATATCACTATATAATCAGCCATTACCTGTGTCTGAAGATAATCCCAATTAGGATGCAGCTATCATTAACCTGGACATCATTTCCGGTTTCATTGTTCCCTTTAAACAGCATGTTAAAACTCCATCTGATCACTCATCACCTCTAAGACGTTATTATTAATGTTAATGGCACCTTAGCATCCTGCATCAAACTGCTGCAGAAGACTAAATGTGTCCAAAAGGTCAGATAGTGTTGTAAAACAGATGTAATAATCAGGAAACTGAACTGAAAAGGAAGCTTTAAATATTTAAGGGCAACATTTACACCGTTTTAAAAATGTAAAAGACAATGTCACGATGTAGCCTGTTTCGGTTTTTGGTGTTGAATGTATCCATTACGTGCAGATCTACCCCAAACTTATAGCTTGCACTCCGTTTTCCCAGATGTGAAGACAGCCAATAGGAGAGCTGACAGGACATGCTGCACCTTCCATAAAGGAAGCAAGCTGCTTTCTACCTCCGTGTAATTTTACAATCAGTAGGGATTTTATTATATTTTATATTAATGTTTTTCTCCCAAGCTCGTGTGAACACATCTTTATCACTAAACAGTTTGTATTAAACCATTTATTTTTAAGAGCATAGCGTGTAGCTCTCACGTTTTCAACGCGTCGGTTTATGTACATTGAGACGTGGGCAGCGCGCGCGCCTGTATCTGAGCACGTGTGCGCGCTTACTTGACTGTTTGCTGGTGCTTGCGTGGCTCGCTCCCCTATGTTTTTTTTTGTGTTTTTTTTTTGCAATACAGTTACATATATGTGTAATAAATATTTAAATAAATAAGGGAGCAGGAGCGTGATCCTTAATTGCGCAAAAAAATGTCAGGAAAAAATACAAACAGGTAAAAAGCAGGAAGTCTAGTTCAAATAGTAAAAACTGCTGCTTGTGCCTGGTATTCATAAGGTTCGATGTGAAATATGATAAAGGACAATTTACGTCTCTGTCTTGATGGAAAGCCTGTGCGTAATGCAAACGTTATAAATGAATCCAGATTGGCAAAAGACGCGCCGCAGGGCACGGAGATTTACAGCCACAATCCAAACACAGTAGCCAAGTCACTTTATTGTCATGCGAGGGGGCAAAGGTATGCAGGGATGATCCATTCTTTTCTGCTTGACAGCAACTTATTGGCACACATCACATGACCGCGTAGAGCAAATGCTCGGGAAGTCAGTAAATTATCGTGAAGCAGAAAAAGTTTTACACTTTTGAGGTTTTATTTTATTTTATTTTATTAATAATGGGTCTGTTCAAACAGATCTGCGTGTTCAAAATGAATACTGTGCAAATTATATGAAAATGTCTGAAAATTTTTATACACAAGGAGCTACACATTGTATTATTTGCTAACGAGTTTTATTTAGCACAAAATGACACACACACATATACACCCCCACCCCCACCACCACACACACACACACACACACACATGCATCAAATAATTTTCTGTAAGAATTTTGCAATAAACAATTACTATAATCTGATTTGAATAATCTCGTGATGAAGTTTAAAGCTTTTCAAACAGCACGTGACTTAACATTAAATATAAACCTCCCAGTATATTTGGTTACCTGGGAAAGGTGATTTCCACAGATGAGAAGACTGTGTTTGGTCTTTGGAGCAGTACACCTGCCCGTCCCAGCCGTTGGACAGAGCCCAGTGCTGGTAGCCCTCCATGGGGATCAGGGCGTCGTGCCTCGGCTCAGGGTGGGCACTGATGCTGGGCACCACCGACACGTCCAGATATCCGGGAACTGCCTGATACGAGCTGGCGAAACTCGGGTAGAAGGCGAACTCTTTGGCCCTGGTGGACAGTTCCTCGGTGGGCAGCGCCGTGCTGGGCTCCGCGTATTTCTCCGCCGGGTGGTACGAGCAGGGCTTCTGCTGCAAGTTCACGTTGTGCGAGTGGGACAGCCGGCAGCCGTAGTACGGGCTTCCAAACGGGTAGCCGTAGCTCAGAGACGCGCTCGAGGACGTTTGAGGAGCGGGACACTGCCGGCCGGTGTCCGCCGGGGAAATATCCGAGTAGACGGAGCCCTGGTGGGTCGCTATGGTGCCAGAGTGCCGTCCCAGCGCAGGGTGCGACATCAGGTCCCTGCAGTGGGTCGCAGGGCAATTTCCGCTCAGACCCTCCATTGCTTGACTTTTATTCTGGCTGTTTTCATTCGGGCTTTTTTCATAAACGTACATCAAGGTGTCCGCCCAGCGTGGATGCAGAACCAGCGAAGTCGTCATATCACGGGCTGCCGATGCTTTTTAAAAGTCGACTACTCCAAGACGGACACCTCATTTCCAACTACATTTTACACCGAGCGCATGCGCACACCAGGCCCCTGGTGTGTCCACTTCATTAAGGATCTGGCACGTGATACGCTAACAAGTCCTGCGAGATTGGGCTGTGAGTAGGGGGCAGAGCAGCCCCTTTAAAGAGCGTCTGCCTCTCCTGCCACCGCTGTTCCCCTGCAGAAAGACGAGCCTCGCCATTGGCTGAGAGCAGCTGGACCCACACCCTTAAAGGGGAGTACGGCTCCTCGCGAGGAGCAGGGCAAACCAAAACAACCTGTGATGTTTAGCCGACTCTGCAGCACTGCCACAGACTAACAGCACAGTCTGATCCACGACACAGTTGATTAAATACAAAGAAGGCAGACTTTGTTTTAGCATCTTTTAAATCAGCGCACAAATCTGACTGACAACACCCAGCTTTAATTTGAAATCCTCATTGAATCTACTTATTAATATGGTCCTAAATGGAATTTATAGGAGCTTATGTGGTAAAATAATGTCTTATATTGCCTGGGGGGAAAATGACTTCAAAAGAGATCAAATAAAAGAAGCAACTTTAAACATGCTTAAATTTGTTTCGTTTATTTATTTTTATTTTATTTTTATTTAGTTGCAGTCTTATCAAGATTTTCATTCCGCCCGCCCCCTCCCCATCATCTGCATGTTGATATACAAGGGACCAAACTCGGCTGAAAATAGAATAAGATAATTAATCTCATTAATAATCTGCACGTGGTTTGGATACTTTAGAAAAGACAAAACATTTTGGATTATTTGTTTTGTTTAGCTTAAAAGTGATATAACACGCATATAAGGTTTTGTGTGTGTGTGTGTGTGTGTGTGTGTGTGTGTGTGTGCATGCGTGCGTAAAGGTAAATAGTTTTCCGTTCAAATGAACTTGAACGTGTTTGAGTGTGAGCAGCAGCATCAGATCGAGATGGAAGCTGCTCCAGGTAAGAACAATTCTGTTCCAGTGCAGAGCTGAACTTCCACTGGGGGAGATCCCCAACAAAAAGCGACACATCACCCCCCACCCCTTTTTTTTTTGCCTTTAAATGCTGCCCTGTCCGTTCACCGTTTTGAAAAGCTCAGCCTGAAAGCTTCATATTTGTTCACATATTTACCCCATGTGTGAAAAGACAATTGAAATGCACATTAAACACATTCATGTGATGTTTCTGTTTCACTGTATATCTATTCATACAGACAGATGCTGACGCTTGCAGGCGAAAAAGAAACAGAACAAGGACCCGCTTTGAGCTGATGGACTCTGAGCAGGCTGCACCCAATATTTAGTTAAACTTTATGCTAGAAATGCCGGCCCATTTCCACTAAGAAGTTTTCAAAATCTATTTATGGACTTTTATTTACCAGCCAAATGTGTCTTTCAGTGTCATATTATTAAAGAGCTGTCAGTAAACTCTGTTTAACGCTACTGCGGCTTTTTAAAATCAAACAATCATTTTGTTCACAGGTTATTTAGAGCTGTATTTACCACCAAAGGATTATCTCGGGTTAGGCCCACAATGAAGAAGCCTTTCTGTAATGCCTATCCTCTGAGTCAGCCATAAAAACAGGCTCCAAGCTGCCTCTGCGAAGAGCGCACTGCTTATACGTTTTCTGACTTCTGAGTTGCCTTAGGAATAATCAGGGCCACTGTTTCATTTCTGTAAGCAGCACCAAGAGAGCTACCCCATCCCCCTTTCCCCATCTTTGCCCATGCAGAGGTTCTTTTGTCTCAAGGAAATTACATCTGCAAAGAAGGGCTCTTCCAAATGGCAGCTGCACGGAAGTCCAAGGTCAAGGTAAAAAAAACGCAGACAAACAGGGTCGTAAGGAGAGTCTAGACAGGCAAGAATGAACTTCACTCTTGAGCTTACATGCAAACTAGCTGCTATTTAGAGTATTTCTCTCCACAAAAACTGCCACGTGAAAGAGGAAACGAACAGCTTCAAATAATCCGCTTTAGCTTTTACGCAAAAACCAGAATGTGAAATTTTGCAGAAAAACGCATTGATCCAGGAGTTTCTTCCAAGGCGCCAATGATGGATTCTGCAAAAAAAAAAGAAGATATATACATATATATATATATGTATATATATATATATGTATATAATCATGAGTACTGTTAGTTTTTCTGTAATCAATCCACGGCATCTATGTCTTTGTTTGAAACTTAAAAAAAAAAAAAACGGAATCCTGAGCGCGGATGATGCCGTGCGTAAAAAGGGTTTAACTGTTGATTTGAGCAAACTTTTGCATGAATTATTATATTATTATAATAAATATATTTCGTAATGTAATGAGTAGAGTTCACAAATTAAGAGAATATGTCGTTATATTTCAAATTCCATTTTTTATTTACACATATTTATAGTTTCTTATAAAAATAATAATAATAATAATAATAATAATAATAATAATGACTAATAGCGACTAAAGTAATTTTCCACTTAGGTTTACTACAAACATTATAATTGAAACAAGTGAATTATTATCATAATATTAAATATTCAGAGAAGTCCTGGACAAGCACTTTCCCCGCGTGCTTGCAGCATGTTTTGGAGATATAATCTGTGCTGTAAACATAACAGACAAGAGACACTGAACTTGACCAGATAACTCCTAATGCCTTTATAAGCAGGACGCAGGCTTCCGGCAGGATTAACGCATGATCGAGTTGCTAAATGCAAAGGTTTGTTAAGCTTTAACATAAACTAATGCAGCAGTTTATTGTGACATGCAGAAACAAATATATCTGAAGGGCGTGGTGAGACCTCCATAACATTCAAAGTGTTAATCTAATGCGCAAAGTATGTGTGCTCATTTTGGAAAGAAAAAAATATATATATAAATGCATTTTTCAGACTGTGTAGATAGTTAAATAAATATTTCTAAAAGTTAAATATCTGAGTTTATGGAAATAGGGAAAGACTTGTTCTAGAAGCTTTGTTGTGTGTTTATTTAACCAAACACCAAACCGAGTGAAACATGAAGACTCATCATTTCACTGGAGTAAATAATTTGGCAAAAACAGAATTAAATCAGCCATTAGCCATTAAAGGAGTATTGTATTTATGTCAGCGCTTTAAAAACGCTGCTTTGACGTATAAATACAGAACACAGTTTTTAAATGAGTGCTTTTTAATAACTGAAATTAATAGAGGACGTATAGGAACTATTTATAAGTGAAACATTTCTTTGTGCTGTTTTTACGCTGCAGCTGCATTGTTTCTTCATATCCAGCCATGATCTGCGGCTGTAAATGACATTCACACATCATGTCCTGCACACACAGGCAGACAGCCTCTCTGATGCACATTGGGATGGGGGAGGGGAGAATTTCCGTCCCTCTACAATTGTGGCTACCTGGACCGTGCGCTCTCACTATGAGGCGCATGATGGAGGCTTTAAAGCTCAGCTGCACCTAATGCACTATAACCTAGCATGATCTAATGATATTGTTCTGAATAGTCAGACTCATTTAAATTCTAACCTCCAATCAAGCTTTCCCTAATCGCAGGAAATAATATTTGGCACAAGTTGCATGTGCATCATCCATCAACGCGACTGTAGAGACCACTCTAACATCGTGTGCATCTTTGGGATGAGGAGCTTTGTGGAGGTGGTGTAATGAGCTGGAAATGCGCAGACGGACTGCAGGTATGGTCCTGCGCGCGCTGCAAGCAGGTTGCGTTCACGTTTACGAGTTTAAAGCCTGCAGCTCCAGACTCTGCTGAGACAAAGACATTTTGTGACATTCAAACTGATCCTGCTGGTAAATCCTGCAAAGAGTACGAGGCACTGCGACAACCCAAAACTACGATTGTCCAGCAGCCTGTGGTTACGGGCCATTTCTCCACATTCAAAACAAAAAGCAAAGAGTGAATCACGTGACTTGACTAAATTACTGAGATTAGAGTGTTTTGATAAATTTCACTGTAAGATCAGAGGTGATCACTTTGATCAAATCCAAGTAGTTTGACTCATGATTAGTAACTTTTTAAAGACTGACAGTGAATTCCTGCTCTTCTATGTTTATAGATTTTGCATGGTGTGTGTGTGTGTGTGTGTGTGGGGGGGGGGGGGGGTCTGGGAGCTAAACTGAAACATCATGTCTAGTTGTTGTTGTTGTTGGCTTAATTTAATATCAAACAAGTTCAAACAAACAAACAAGCAAACAAAAACCGGATTGCGCGTCCTTGTGATGGCACAGCAGAGTCCGTGCTTTTTTAAATCCACTGAAGGAGTTTTGGTGCGTGACAAACTGAACGGGCTGGCAACACAAAAAGTGATAAAGGAGAACGCTTTGATGAAGCAGAAATAAGATAATAATAAATGAACAAAATAAACAGACAGATTTCAGTTCGCCTCGTGATCAACGCATCCCTACGTCTTTGGCACAGGCAGATTTTAAAATGCAACTCCCAGATAATCCACCATCACATCTGCAGATCGTGTAAGAAGACACTTTTTTTTTCTCTTTTCTCTTTTCATAACATCATCTCTGCGTCAGTGTGAAGTGACGTCACTGACACAGGGAGCAAATTCACCAAATATCCAACTTAAACTGGAAAGTGTCAAATGCAGATTTTGGTCAATTTTACTCTTCAGCGCCCTTTTATCTATCTGTTCTCTCTAAATAACTAAAATCGTCTTTATATAAGTTAAAAGAAGTGTGTTTTTAATATTTCTTTGTGTTTAGAGTCATTTATTCCTCACTTCCAGCACCTAGCATGTGACTGGACTGTTACAAAACATGCATGGCTCATTACAGACTCGTCGGCCATCTTTGACAGCAAATAGACTCGTGCATGAGAGAAAAGCTGTGGACTGCAGCAGAGCGCGCGCAGCCGCGCCCAGAGAAGTGAGGGCAACCTGGCAGACCCCCGCCACGAGCACTAGGCCGGAGAGGGCGCACATAAGCGTTTGTGGTTATTATTAGTTTTATTTTTTAATCAAAGGATGAAATG